AGATTTCTATGTATTTTCTAGTTATATTTTTGTTTCAGATTTCTAGCTTAATTCTGTAATGGTCATGTTACCAGTGGATAGTCTTGACTACGAGTCCCCCAGATTCTTGGCGTTTTGAACAAATAATTATACAAAATGCACAAACAAAGCAACGAAATAATGAAGCAACAAAAACATGGATTTATTGAAATGAAAGTACACTCCACAGAGCAGCCCAAGAGCACTGGCTACAGAATTTTCTGGAGTTTAAATACCCTCTAGAGGTTTCCCATTGGTTACTTGGTTACATCCTATGTAAATGAAGAACTGGACTGTAATCAGTCTGATTGGTGGAGGAGGTGACCAATCAGAGGCTGACGTGAAGTTACAGAGTTACACATGAAGGCTTGGCCCCTCACCAGTCTGATTGTGGAGAGAACCAGTCAGAGGTACTTCCCATTTTTCATCTGCCACACAGTGCAAAGGGAGTAGCCTCCGATCCTTTTGTTACTTGGGTGTGGAGAGGTGGGGTTTTCCTTTTGATTAATTTCTAGGAAGTCAGCATGGCCTTAGCTTCCCTGCCTTTAGAATTTACTCTCCTGCCTCATTTAGAAAACATCCTCTTCCTGCTTCCAATTTGTGAAATGTATTGAATTAACTTAACTTATTGCCCAGCATGTAATCAGTTGTGGTAGATTTCCACAGGCACTTGAAAAAAAAATGAATTCTGCAGTTGTTGAATATACACCATTTTTTTTAGAGCTGTGATTCTCACCACTGTTGTGAAAGCTAAGAACCACAGGTCATATTCCGTGTGTGCACACATGCTATTTTTTCTACAGTAAGAAAATACTTCATCTTGTTTTGTAGGTGCTATGCAATATGCAGATGGTAAATTAAAATGCTTAAAATATACCCATGCCTAAATCCTTTTATAGATATATGATTTATATAAAAATAGAGGCATGAAATTAGGTAGTAAAGCAAGAACTAAAGTAATGGAAGGGCATCATCATGTGGTGTCTGATAGTTCTACTAGAAATTTCTTCTTTAGGTTGTTTACAGTGTAATTTAATAATATAAGTTTTGTTAGTTTATAAAACAATTATTTTAAAAAATTTTCACATCAATTATATTTGAGCCAGCTCTTAGTATACTATGTAGAATAAAAAGAGATTGCAAACATTTAAAAAGGAGGGATCTTCATAACTATTTTTTAATGAAATGTTTATTCCACCTACATTTGTGTGTTCTTCACTTTAAAAAATAAAATGCAAAAATAAAGTGAAAAGTAAAGATAAAAGTGTGGCATTACTATTTTCAAAACTTGGAGGATATGGTGTGGCTAAAATAAATTATATATATTCACAGCTTTAATGTTGTTTCTCTCAAATCTGGAAAACAGTAGTGAAGTCTACCCATTGAACCTACTTAACATCTTTAAATATCACAGGCCCATTTTTGTGTAACTTGTGCCTTGGTCTCTGGAGCAAGAGTTACACTGAATCTAAACTAGCACCAGATGCCTGGTGTTCAGCTGTGAAAATACACTAGTTGGCCCACGGCTAGGCAGGGGCCTAATATGAAAAAGCAAGCCAAAGGAAATAAGGCATAACATTATTACCAGAAATTACACTGTGCTGGCGTATCAAAAGGAAGCTCAGAAAAGGATTATTATATTGAGGAAAAAAATAACCACAGAGAGAAAAAAAATACTCTAATCCAGAAAACAGGCCTGGCACAGTGCCTTACGCCTATAATTCCAACACCTTGGGGCACCAAGGCAGGCAGATTGCTTGAACCCAGGAGTTCAGGATCAGCCTGGGCAACCCTGTCTCTACAAACAGTTTTAGAATTAGCCAGGCATGGTGGCACATGCCTATTGTTCCAGTTACTTAGGAGGCTGAGGAGGGAGGATCGCTTGAACCTGGGAGGTCAAGACTACAATGAGCCATGATTGCACCATTACATTCCGACCTGGATAACAGAGTGACACCATGTCTCCAAAAAGAAAAGAAAACTGAGATGGAATTGCCAAATTAAAGGATGGGGAAGGCAAAGACTGGATCATATTCATTTTGTAACCAATATTCTTTCTCTTTCATCCTCCCTCCTGGATCCTACATTGTTTAGGCGTCTACTCTTTTCCATATAGATATGAACAGTGAAGCTGGCCCCTCCCCAGCTTCAAATTTTGACGGCTTCTGATTAATTTCAGCCAATTATGGTCATCCCATTTCTTCTACCAGTGATGGGTTTAGGAATAGACATGTGATCCAGTTCTGTGCAGTGAGATCCGTGAGGCACTATGCTCAAGACTTCTAGGAAAGATCACCTCTCTTCTAAGAAAAAAGGCAGGCTGGGCACGGTGGCTCATGCCTGTAATCCCAGTACTCTGGGAGGCTGAGGCAGGGGGATCACCTGAGGTCAGGAGATTGTGACCAGCCTGGCCAACATGGTGAAATCCCATCTCTACTAAAAAATACAAAAAATGAGCCAGGCGTGGTGGTGGGCACCTGTAATCCCAGCTACTCAGGAGGCTGAGGCAGGAGAATTGCTTGAACCCCCGAGGTGGAGGTTACAGTGAGCCAAGATCGCACCACTGCACTCCAGCCTGGACAACAGAGTGAGAGTCCATCTCAAAAAAAAAAAATGGTAAAGGAGTAGGTGGTGTGTTGACTCCCAAAACCACTTACATTGAAAAATGTTTAATTGACTTCATGTTACAGTAGTTAGGTATTACCCTTTAATTCAATGACTAATGAAACGCACTTTTAAAGGAGTAGAGGATGTCAGTTGAATGACTAATAAACTATATCCCTTGGGAATATATTTGGAAACAGAAAATCCAACTTTTTTTTTTTCTTTAACAAATAGGGATTTGTCTCGGGCATCAAGTTTGGAGGTAGCTACTTAGTGATGTTTCAGGTACCTGGGCTTTTCATTTTCCTGCTTCTGCCTTCCTAGCTTTCATTCTTATGCTTGTCACTGGATGGTCACAAGGTAGCTGCTACTCCTCCAAACAGGAGGCAGGGGAAAGACAAAGGGACAGAGGGACTTGCCGGTAGAGTCTGCCTGCTTTTATCAGGAAAACAAAACTTTCCTGGAAAGTCCACTCTGAAATCTGCGCAGATCTCATTGGGCACTCCTAATTGGAATGCTGCTTAGGAGAGAAAGAGGTTATGGTTGGAGTCAAGTCAGTCTGCCAGCAGTGCTAGCCACACATACTCACCTACCCCACATAAATGGATCAAGCTAATTAACTGCTTAAAACCACTTGTCTTTTTACCATTCTGGAATTCCGTGGGTTTTTTTGGCTACGACTTGCAACATGTCTAATCTGTCTTCTCGAATTTAACTTCAACTATATTAATTCCGTCACTTTTTTAGTTTTTGCTTATGTTATAAACTAAAGTTAGTACAGCCGGCCCTCCATGTCTGTGGGTTCTGCATCTGTGAATTCAACCAACCTCAGATGGAAAATATTTAAAAAAAAAAATGGATGGTTGCATCTGTACTCAACATGTGCATACTTTTTCTTATTATTCCCTGAACAGTACAGTTTAACAACATTTACGTAGTGTTCACGTTGTGTTAGATATTATAAGTAATATAGAGATGATTTAAAGTATGTGAGAGGATGTACTTAGGTTATATGTAAATACTATACCATTTTATAATAGGTACTTGAGCATTTTTGGATTTTGCTATTTGAGAGGGAATGGTGGAGTCAGGACCAGTTCCCCACATAAACTGAGAGATGACTCTGTGGTTAGACCATTAGACTCACTAAGACATTGTTTTTCTTTTTTTCCAAAATTAGGGCCTCTGAGCAAATATGTAAATTTGTGCTAAGTTTGTGCAAATTATTGTTTTTCATTTGAACTAAGCATTGTGGTTATTTTTAAATGAGGCTTATAGTTCTTATGTACCTTTTTATCTTAGGAAGAACAGAGGAACTATTGAATATTTGAACTGAACTCCATAACAATGATAATACAAACTACTGTTTCTAGGGTCCCTTTTGAGAAAAGAGATGCCCAGTTCATTAAAAGAAAGAAAAAAAAAAGAGCAGTGTTTAAATTTAATGTTTAGTATTGCATTCAGGATTTATCTACAAAGACTTAGGTGTTCTTAAATTATGTACTGGACTCTATTTCCTTATTTCCCTCCTGCCCCTAACTCTGTCCTTTTTCACAGATATGTTTATTCTCAATCACTGAGATAAATCATTGAGGTAAAAATTAAAAGGATAATTTAAGAGTGAAAGAAAATGTGGTTTCACATTAAATGCTAGAGGTGGAAATGCCTACTATAAACAAGACGGAGTCATACTTTACAAAGAATACAGCCACAGATGTAGAGTGGGATAGAGTGCCCTTATAATGGAGACGAGACAGAACACAGCCTCCAATCTTTGCTGGTTGATGGATGTTAGCAAACAGGGATTGGGTCTGATTCACAGTGCACCTCATTTTAGGATTCTGGATCCAGGACCAATGTAGAAAAACATTTCTGACACTGCTAGCTGTATGCTAGTTTAAGTTCATCTCAGTAACTGAAGAACATAGATGAGTTCTTGTTGAACATAGGTGAAGATCAAACAGGTTTTATGTTTGTTTTTCCCAACCACATTTGTATTGCTTTGACCCTAGGGTGGCCACAGATCACAGGGTAATAGATGAAATATGTATACATCAGGATTGTTTTGAGAGAGACAAATAAATAAGCTATTTAGCTAATACTTATTACTCTTCATTTTTATGGCATATAACAGGATCTTTCTTCATATATGACTTATATTTTTCCTAATCTCATTATGCAGGAGGAGAGGAATGGGAAACCAGATTATTTTATTTGTGCCTCTGAACTAGGGAAAAAGAAAAGTCATTAGTAAATCTAATAGTTATGTTGCCATCAGTTTTTTAATCCAGTTTTCAAAAGTTACTTACAATTATTGTAGACTGTACTGCGTGTTGAGGCTAATTGGAAACAGTGACCAGATTCTTAATCATTATCAGGAAACTGCATTCAGAGAATGAGAAGAACACCCCCGCTGGATGAATTGCAGCCACCACCATATCAGGATGACAGTGGTTCTCCCCATCTGTCATGTACACCCTCAGAAATTGGGGACAGTAAATGTGAATTTTCCCACTGCAGCAACAGTCCAAGATGCTCATATAACAAGTGCCCAAGTGAAGGAAGCACAGGTCATGAAATAGAAAGTTATCATAATAAAGGATATGAAGAAGATGTTCCAAGTGACAGCACTGCAGTCCTGAGCCCTGAAGTAAGTAAAAGCACATAGAAGTTTGAAAATAAGTGTTATTTGGAGGATAATAATCCTGTGCTTCTCCTCTTGGTAAGAAGAATTGATTTTATCACTATCTTGTTCCTTTATGACTTATGATATTAGTATCCATTTTTAATCTGATCTTTATCCAACAAACTTATCAGGTATGTCCCAGCTAGTCTTCAACTGCCCCCACTCTCCAACCCCAAGCCCCACCACCAAAGGAGGATGGGTACTTAAGATGGTTTTTTTTTTAAAAAAAAAAAAAAAAAACACTTTATATAAAACATTCTAGAATAATTACCTACTTATTTCATCTTGAGGTTACTATTTGTATTTATTTTATTTTGGATCTTTTTTGCTCTTGAGAAGTTACTCAGTGTTTCACAAATCTTTCAAAATAACCTTACTGTATTTTTTATCATAGAAAATACAAAGAATAAATGATGATCAGCTTTACTAATGAAATTTGAATCCATGACTTCATGTTGTTTGGTTGAGTTTTAAGTTTACTTACTGTTTTGGAGCAAAAATGTGGAAGTGACAACAAAGATAATTTTGTGGCAGTTTTGAAGTATTATCATATTTGAAAAAGAATTTGTTTTAATGTTTATATCATGATGAAAACTATAAAGGTAATCTAGAGGTTTTACAAATTAGTATTTGTTTTTAGATTTACTTTCAAGTTTTTTTGTTTTTGTTTTGAGACAGAATCTCGTTCTGTCACAGCTCACTGCAGCTTCCTCCCACCTCAGCTTCCCAAGTAGCTGAGACTACAGGTGTGCACCACCACACCCACATATTTAAAAAATTTTTTTTGTAGAGACAAAGTCTCACTGTGTTGCCCAGGCTAGTCTCAAATTCCTGGGCTCAAGCAGTCCTGCTTCCTGAGCCTCTCAGAGTGCTGGGTTTATAGGCATAAGCCTCTGCACCCAGCCTACTTAAAAGTTTTAGATTGCAAGTTCTTGCAAGTTTTTACAGCTTTTTTTCCAGACAACATTCAGTAATACTGAAATATGTCTGTATTCTCACCAGATGAATTTTCAGATCTGCTGCCAAAATTAAATAATAGATGTAGTTTCCTAAGACCCAGAGCAATTAAGCTATGGATAGAATTTCCTTAATTTAAGTTTTTCTTCTATAATTGCTAAAAATACTTTGTATCTGTTACTGCTTTTTTAGTATTTCTAGTATTACAGTATCTGACCTAGAAGAAAATTGTACATTGATACAGTTTAATATATCATTATTTTATGATTTTCCATGATGGATGTTTATGTTCCATTACCTAAATAAATTTGAAAGAGCCATTTTGTAGCTTTGTAAACTGTGTATATATAGCCTACAAGTTAACAGTGAAGCCTGGACTGTAGGATTAACAACAACAATAATACCTATCACTACTTTTATCTGGAATTTTGCTATAAGCTTTATGTAGTCTGCTCATTTAATTCTAACAGCCACATCTTTAGTAAGTTATTATTTCCGTTTTATAAATGAAAACATTAAAAGTCAGAGAGCTAAACAATTTGACCAAGTACAAGAAGCTCTTATATAGTGGAACTATAGTTCAAACCCAGTTCTGTCTGGCTGCCAAAACAGTGCTCTTAACAACTACATTATATTGAGTTTTTTGATCTAAAATGTTGTATGAGAAATTACTTTGGTTCAGTGGTACCCTCCAAACATCACCAGGAAAACTCTCTCAGAGGACTAAAAGACCAAAGTAAGATGCTCAAATTATGTGTATGAGTGAGTGTGTGTGTGTGTGTGTGTGTGTGTATGTGTGTGTATGTGAGAGAGAGAAAGAGAATGTGTGTGTGTGTGTGTGTGTGTGTGTGTGTTTCACATACAAAGCAAGAAGTAAGAGGAGCTAGATGAAATCAGTTAACACACATAGGGATAAGCTGCAAGTGTGTAGAGGTAGCAGGACCACACCATGTGAGTCCTGGTTTATGCAGTGCCCATACATCCTGTCCACTGTCTCTTTTCCATCATCATTCATATTTATGATGTAACAAGGACCAGAGTTGAGATTTGAACGAGGGTACCAAGAGCTGACAGCACATACTTGTTTGTGGGAGAGATAAAGTTATACTGTACACCTGGCCACCACTGAAACTTGTCAGTTAGCCTACTAGGCAGTTGTAGGTTTTATATGCATTTCTTAAGTAGAGCACATGGATGACAGAGCTGTCAGTACAGAGGCTACATGATCATGGCTTGTGTGTTTCATCCCTTTATAGGTAACACTAATTTGATTTATCATATTTTCTATCCGTCTATCTTTGGCATATGTTGTAAGTTATTAACTATTTATATTTAATATCTTACGAATTCTGCCTGTGTCTCACAAGCTGCTTCTTTGCTCACTATCTATAGTTAACACATACTGTGAGTTTTGCCCATATTTCAGAAGCTGCTTACTTGCTATCTGTAACCACTTCTTTGGAATTTTCTCCATCCTGCTTATTTTTATGTCTTCTGTAACAGCACTGAATATACTCAAACAGTATAGCAAATGCACATTACATAAATATTTAGATATGAATGCTTATAACCTATGCTAATATAAAATTTACTTTTGTGTTTTTTCAAGTTTATTTTATTTCCTTGTAATAGATATTATATGTGAGATAGAAAGTTGTCACTTTTCTCTTGGTTTAATCCAGGCTGTAGCTATCTTAGAGCCTATCCACATACATGATTAAACTGAGAGAGAAGAGAAGGTTCAGAAGAATTCCATGGGAAGGAGTTTATAAACACTTTTGATGACCTGTTGCTATCTAAAGGTTTTTTAAAACTGATCCAGATGCCTTGAAAGGAAGGACTATTGCTATTGCCTATTTTCAGAATGCAAATAATATCTTTTATCTGTAAAGGTTCTACCCTTTCAACACTGGGTTTCACAAGAATTGTTGGAATGTTTGAAAAAAAAAAAGAAAAAACAATGAGGGAAATATCAAGAGAAACAAAATTCAAAAATAGCTGTCTAGGACCTGATAAACATTTTTATTGCCTGAAAATCCTAGCTGTCATGATACTGTTTTAGAAAATATTTAATTGCAATACCAAAGCCATATAACTAATAATCTTCAGTGACCAATTATGAAGTAGTATACATTAAAACATTTTGCTCTAAATTGTAAATTTTTTTAACAGAATAAGAATATGTTTGTTTTGATTTTCTCATACTACATTAAAAACTGAATTCTCCTATGGGAATTTATTCCTTCTCTGCAAGTATTGTTCTTCTGTTGTTTTTCTTTCCTCCCATACATTATACCAACTAGCATGTAAGATTTATAAGACCAAGGACTAACTGGGCATGGTGGCTCACACCTGTAATCCCAGCACTTTGGTAAGATGGAGGCAGGAGGATTGCTTGAGTCTAAGAGTTTGAGAGCAGCCTGGGCAACATAGCAAGACCTTGTCTCTACTAAAAATAAAAAAAATTATCCAGATGTGGTGGTATGTGCCTGTGATCCCAGCTACTCAGGAAGCTGAAGCAGGGGGATCACTTGAGCACAGGAGGTCAAGGCTGCAGTGAGCCGTGATTGTGCCACTGTACTCCAGCCTGGTTGACAAAGCAAGACCCTGTGTCGGGAAAAAAAAATAGGGACTCAAGTTGGCTCTCTTTGCAGAAAGTAGCACTCTCCTGACCTAAAATAGGCCCTGGCACATAGTAGGTACGATAGTTACAGCACATATTAAGCTGCCACAACAAAAAGACCCCTCAGCGCCCGCTAAATGCAATGGCTGAAGAACACAGAAACCTACTTCTCTTTTGTTTAACAACAGTCCAGGGTGAGCAGGGAGCTTTACTCTATGAGATTATTCAGGGACCCAGTTCCTTCTCTTCTGTTGCTCTGCCTTCCCCTAGGGTACTGTCCTAGTCTACATGGTCTGAGCTGACCCACACATCCTGTTTGTATATCTGCTTGTGGAAGAGTGAGACAAGAGAGTGGAGGGCAAGTAATTTCTTACATAAATCTGATCTAGATGTTTCACACATAAATTATGTTTGTCTCCTATTGGCCAAAGCTGAGTCGTGTAGTCATCTGAACTATAATAGAGGTACTGAAGTATAGTCTCTTGTGGATAGTGTTTTGTTTTAGACAGAGTCTCACTGTCATTGGGGCCAGAGTGCACTGGCACTATATTGGCTCACTAAGACCTCTGCCTCCCTGGCTCAAGCGATTCTCCTGCCTCATCCACCTGAGTAGCTGGGACTACAGGCACCCATGCCCAGTTAATTTTTGTATTTTTAGTAGAGATGGGGTTTCACCATATTGGCCAGGCTAGTCTTGAACTCCTGACCTCAAGTGATCTGCCTGCCTTGGCTTCCCAAATCTTGTAGGTAGTGTCTCTAGCTAACACTCAGGAAGGTTTTTGTTTGTTTGTTTTTAGTAAATGGAAGAAGAGAAGACTGAGATTCAGTAGTATTCAGTGCCACTCAAACTTGAGAAGATTTAAAAAATTTATTAAGTTGGTCTACATTTTGAAAGGAGAATTATTTAAGATTTATTAAAATACTTAAAGAGGCAAAGTGGTGTAGTTGAAAGGTCAGAGACCTAGGTTTGACATTGTCAGTAACTAGTTAAAATTCCTATTATATTCTAGATAGATAGACTGGCAGGAATTTGAGACAATTATAGGAAAAATGGTTATATTACTTTTAATTTCATAATTAAATGCATGATTTCAGCCTTTCTTGGACTTTTATAATGTGTATTCTGCCATTTTCAATAGTCATTAATGTTAGAAAATAATGTGTTTTTAATTTTGGTTAGAAATTGACGTAAACCTGTGTTATGTAGAATAAATATTTGACTGCTAACATTTTGAGGCCTTTTATTTATACTTTCATATTTCACATTTCCATTAAGTCTAAATATCTTTATATTTTATTACAGATGGGGGTGTTTTAGAACAAGCTCTGAAAATGGAACCAAATTTTTCAATAGCATTATACTTTTATTTATGTTTCCTTTCTCTGCAGCCTGTTACTGTGCTGTCAATGGCATTGTTTATAAAATTGAAAGTAAAATGTAGTTTTTTTCTACAAAAGGAGCAGGTATACCCACTTAAGGATATATTTTAAATTCTCATTTATAAAATCATACACTTTCTCAAAATTGTGATGGTGAATATTAAATTCTAAATGTGTCTTTATTATCATAAGTTTTAAATTTCACTTACTGCTTATACTAATCTGGCCCTATAGGGTAGCTTTTGGCTGTAGTTGACTGTTAATTATTATCATATTACTTTCTTAGTGGCAGCATTGCTTTCACATCATCCTCTTAAAGAAATACCAAGTATTTATTTACATCCTAGGTTAAATAATTGAGTTAAAACTCTAACATTTAAATTTTCTTTTCTTAGGATATGTCAGCTCAGGGATCATCTTCACAGCTTCCTAAACCTTTTGATCCTGAGCCAGAAGCTAAATATGGCACACTGGATGTGACTTTTGACTATGACTCACAAGAACAGAAGCTTCTGGTAACAGTGACAGCTGTCACAGACATCCCAACATATAACAGGACAGGTGGCAACTCATGGCAAGTACACCTTGTTCTTCTACCTATAAAGAAACAGAGAGCAAAAACCAGCATCCAGAGAGGACCATGCCCTGTCTTCACAGAAACATTTAAATTTAATCATGTTGAATCTGAGATGATTGGAAATTATGCAGTTCGGTTTAGACTGTATGGTGTACATCGCATGAAAAAAGAAAAGATTGTGGGGGAAAAGATTTTTTATTTAACAAAATTGAATCTTCAAGGGAAAATGTCATTGCCTGTGATATTGGAACCTTCTTACAATCATTCTGTGAGTATCTCATTAAATGGCCTGAATAGAATTTATGTTCATGGTTTATAGTATGCACAATTTTTAAAATCTTTAATCAACCCAACAAGTTTGTCAGTCTATTTTTTTATTTAGTAATCATGCCTTTACAAAAATTTCTAAGTCCTGGTTAGATAGATATGCTTTTTCTTACCTATAAAAGTTACCCTTGAAGATAATTTGTGATTTGTATTTTTTATTTTATCATTCACAGAGTTTTGGCACAGGGTTTTACATTTTTGTTGTTGTTGTTGAACATTTATTAAATATTTGATTATGAAGTCATCCAGACCCCTTATAGTATTTTTTTTTCCAGGTTAAAAGTAGGTGATAGATACATTTAGAAGAATCAGCCCCATATTTTATTTACTGTATTGCAGAAAGGATTTGCTCTTACGGAATATGCAGTGCTACGTAGGTCATGACTGGATATATTTCCAGAAGTTTTGTGAAATTATTTTAAAGTTTCAAAAAAAAAAAAAAAGTCTGGCCTCATTAGACTGTTCACCCTTTTTTTTTTTTTTTTTTGAGATAGAATCTTGCTCTATCGTTCAGGCTGGAGTGCAATGGCGCAACCTCCACTCAACACAACCTCTGCCTCCTGGGTTTAAGCGATTCTACTGCCTCAGCCTCCCAAGAATCTGGGATTACAGGCACATGCCACCACACCCGGCTAATTTTTTGTATTTTTAGTAGAGATGGGGTTTCACCATGTTTGCCAGGCTGGTCTTGAACTCCTGACCTTGTGATCCGCCCACCTCAGCCTCCCAAAGTGCTGAGATTACAGGCGTGAGCTGCTGTGCCTGGCTGACTTTTCACCCTTTTTAAACAAAGATTTTGAAGTATTTCAGGAGAACCCTTAAGCTTAGTACTTTGAGCTAGTTCTCTCTTTTCTCTTTTTGTCCTCCAGATGATAATCACATATAAATCACTCTCTCTCTCTTCGTATTTTTAACTAAATTCCCACAAGGCATTGCAAATCACAGGAGAGAAATGTCTGCACTGTTTATTTAAACCAGGGAGATACATTATGCCACATAGTTATTTAGATTATGAAAAAAATCTGTGATATGCTCTAAGTGTGCATTATGGTTTATAGTCTTCTCTGTTATATTGAATAAAAAGCATTTTTTAAATATACAGATTTTAGAATAGATTTATATTTTAAAATAAAAGCATAGTATTTTAGGGTTGTTTAAAGCTTTTAAATGTGTAAGCTTCAGTCCAAGTAGTTTAGGGTCTTAACTGCATTTACACCAGGCAAGATTTTATCTTGTAGGACCTTCATACACAGTCATACCATGCCAGTTTAACTAAGTGATTTCAATGTTTTTAAGTACAAAATGATGGTAAATATGGTATAATCATATGGGTTTCTGGGATAAGACTTAATCTCTATTGGGAAAATTGATAACGTGTTATCCTTCTAAATTTTCAGAATTACCATTTTGGGGAAATGCCAAAATGGTAATTATTTTAGAATAATTTAAGTTTTAGATAATTTTAAATAAGTATTACTTTAAAATAATAGCAGCTTATAAGAGGAGAGAAAAAAAGAAAAAACAGGCAATATTTCAGGGGGAAAAGAACAAATTTTTCATAAAATTGAATAATCTACAGTTATTAATATGATTTCTAAACTTTTTCATTATTTGGTCTGAGTGATCACTAGTTATTCTGTGGAAAATACGCCCTTATATAGAAATAACTCATTTAAATTAGAAGAGAAAGACTGTGTCATCAAGAGGTATGTAATTTATCTGTTCCCAATTCTGTTTTAATTATATTCATTTCACAAATAAAATGAAGCCAAAGAAAGTAATACTGTTTTATCTTTGTTCAAACTAAACAGTTTTTAATGGACCTACATTATGTGTGTTAGCTTATAGTCATTGATTCTGTAATCTTTTTCTGCCAACCAGTACAATACATTTTTGAGGAGTGTTTTCAAAAAGGAAAAAGTGCTAAATAAATAGCTTTTAAGACATAACTTTTTTCTTAAACTTTCATTTTAAGTTCAAGTTTACACATGTGCAGGTTTATAAGTAGACTTGTATCATGGGGGTTTGTTTTACAGATTATTTTATCACCCAGGTATTAAGTCCAGTACCTAATAATTTTCCTGATCCTCTGTCTTCTCCCACCCACCACCCTCTGATAGGCCCCAGTGCCTTTTATTCCCCTCTAAAGATAAAACATTTATGTTTGAATAAAACTATCCATCTTCTGCTCTTAGAGAATGTTTCTCCGTGTTGATTGCTTCTCAGATTCAGTACCCTGTATTTAATTGTTCCTCTTTTTTGCTTTCCTTCTCTCTCCACCTTCTCAAAATCTCATTACTTGCTTTTGGCTTCTGTGCTATCAGTTGTTTACTCATTAACATGTAATGCCAATAGAAAGTATATATTCTATCCATACTGTAGTGTTAATGTTCTCTTTGCTTAAGTTTTAATGTTAACTTTGTGGGGAGATCTTGTGATTATAGTTTACTTGGGTGAGTTTGGCTCTAATTTTTGTAAGTTGTAATAATATATCTGTAAGAGCTATATTCATAATGAAACATCTGTTTTAGTTGCTTTTCTTTCCCAGAGTCTGGGTGTCACTCTGGGAAAAGTCAGGGTCACCCAGGCTAGGTTGTGGTAGTGCAATCATGGCTCACTGCAGCCTGAAGCTCCTGGGCTTAAGCAATCCCATCTCAGCTTCTCAAATAGCTAGGAGTACAGGTGCGCACCACCAGACCTGGCTAATTTTTTTTAAAGAGATGGGATCTTGCTATTTAGTCCACGCTGGTCTTGAATTCCCAGCATGAAGTGATTCTCCCACATCAATCTCCCAAAATGCTGGTGTTACAGGGCTGAGGCACCATGCCAGGCCTTCTAATAGCTTTTGAATAATTACTTATTATTGTTGTCATTTTTGTTGTTGCAAGAATATTAGCCTTTTGGCAAGGAAAAGTTTTAATCCAGCCAAAGAATTTGCAAACTACAATTAAAACACATTTAAGCTTACAGATTTTTTTTAAAGATAATAGAAAAATAAAATTTTGCATATAAATTTAGTTGGATAGCTAGTTTTGCAGGAACTGATTGAAAGGAGAAAAAGACCAATGTTACCAAAATGGTTTTCTGCGGACTAAACAGGTAGTTTTCCTGAGAATAAGAGTAAAGTTTAACATTTAAGATACAGTTTGAAGTATGCCTTCTTGATCATTGCGTGATAGAAAATATACTAAGAGTTGCAAAAGCATAATTTCTTTCTACTAAGTAGCCATGTAAACTAAGTAAAGCATCTGATCATTTTGGGCATCAGGTTTCTCATTAGTGAAATGAGATCTGGAAAGGTGTATCCATCTCTGATATTCTCTAATTATGTTAGTATATATTGGGAAAGGAGTTAGGTGGGAACAGAAATTGGTGAAATTTAGATGAGTTTTGTATGCTTGATACAACATTTTGTGGCAGATATGTATTATGTTTTCTCACTCTTCCACCTTTTCAGTAACTATCTGGGAATAACTATGTCTACCTCCCTAAGGTAAGCCATAAAATTGACTTTCCCAGTCTCACTGGTAGGTATGGCATGAACTGTGTGACATAGACTCTGCCACACATATTCGTTTTTAGGAAACCTTAATACAGACTGAACAAAGAAGCGGGTGCTGCAGTCAGATTATGTTTCCATGGAGTTGATGGTGGAGGTATCTGGTGTTCAGAGGCAATAGTAACTGTTGAAAAATAGCTCTGCTGATGCAGTAATGGTATTGGTGCTGGGCTGCTAACAGTTGCAATAGAGAAAAGCCCTTGGCACAAAAGAATCCAGTGAGAACAGCAGCAGATTTTCCTCACCTGACCAATTCTGTAGTATGGCTTGCAGACTTTATTCTTGAGAAGCTTAACCATTAACTTGATTCTTTATTCATCTTCATTCCTTTAATAAATTACTGTTTCACTTTATGAGTCAGAGTTAGCTTCTGGTGTTTTCAAATAAGAACCCTGAAATAGCCATATGGTTTACTGTTTGCTTGCTTTAGTCCTGTCTTATGCCAGACACAATAGCTAGAATGTCAGTTACCCTTCCTGCCATGGTATGTCCCTGTCGTACTTTGAACTCTTCTTACACGCTCAGCGTTGTTCATATGGCACTCTTTCTTACTGTATAGCACCAATTACTTTCTTCACTTGCGTTTTTTGCACTATGTTACTCTCTGTAACAGTTGCATAAAATGGCCTTTCCCTTTTTTCTCATCCTGATTTTATTTCTAATTTTAGCATATTAGATTTGTTAATATTATTAAATTTATCAATTGATAATGAAACTTTATTCTTTCTCTCACAAACATCCACACAACCCTTCCTGTACAAACAGTACTTAATCAGCCTGATCTTTTCAGAGTGGCTAGCAATAATAATAGTGAGGGTACCCACACATTGGACAATTCTCAGAGTAGAGGAATCTTTATTAAATCCTTGGTTTACTTTAAATAATTTATATGGTTTTTGGTGAGTTGCCATTTAGGAAAACTGATACTTGACAATGCTGTGATGTGTTTCATCTTGAAATAAGGTTCTCTACATTGGCAGATGAGCTGCAGGCATACCCGTTAAGTTTTTCTTCTGTAGACAAATGGTTCTCAAAGTATGATTCCTGGACCACCAACATCACATCACGTAGGAACTTTATAGAAGTGCAGATTCTTAGTCCCTCTCTGAAACTTTCTGAATTAAAAAACTCTGAGGGTAGGGCCCAGCAAATCTGTATTTTAACAAGCACTGTACATGATTCTGATATACGTTGAAGTTTGTGACTCACTGCTTTTGACTAGAGTTTGCAAACTATGACTTGTGAGTCAACTCTGGCACGTAGCCTGCTTTTATAAGGTCTGTTGCTCCTCTCTGCAGAAGCAGCATACATTAACACTGTTGAACTTAGGTGTGGCCATATGACTTGCTTTTATCTTCTGTGCATAACCTTTAAGAATCAGA